ACTCTTTCCTTTTGAACTCCTGGTCTTTTTTACCAGTGGTAGAAAGTATGAGGAATTTAAGCATCGGTGGTCAGGGCAGGTGCTGACAAAACAATTCTTCTCAGCTACAAATCGCCTCCTTCCCTCTGTACACTTAGTGTTTGGCAGTTGGTAGGAGTTTTGCTACAGCTGAAATGATCAACCTTTAAACACACCCACTCTTACCACCAACATGCAGTTTCAACCCAGAAAATGACACCAGCCAAAGTCTATTGCTTTCAAAGCAGTTTGGGAAGATAAGGCAAGCTCTATGTCATGACGAAAACCATCCCCTCTCCTACGTGCACTAGCCTTCAGTTTGTTGGTCTTTTTTTAAATCTGGTAACTGCTGACGTGCACTTAGTCTTATCGATCTTTCTCCCATCCCATAAAAACAGGGAAAAACAGCTCAGAGTAAACTGTGGTCCTATTAGGATTGTGTCATTTTTTGGTCCTGGCCATTGAACTTGAAGAAAGATGTTGAGGATACAGGGCAGTCTGGAAGTGTCTTCGACAAGAAAAGTAAAGGAGAAGGCATCTTGCCTGGAAGAGGAAGGGCTAACGGCAAACGAAATGAAAACTTTCACGTGGTTAATCAAGGACCTTCAATGCTGAAGGGTTGAATTTGGTCACGGTGGTTCTAGAGCATAGAATCAGGATGAATGAGTAACATGACGGGGCCCCAAAAGAAGGTGCGAACAGCTATCTCAGTCTAGCCAGGCACTGGCTATCTCTGGTGATCAAGAACTCCTTGCTGAAAAAAACCAAAAAAACAAAAAAAACCCTCCTTGCTGGAGGAGCTCAAGCAGGAGGTATGTAGGATGCTCCGATGTTGAGACTTTCCTTATGCGAGAGGTGACCTGTAAGGCTGCTTCCTGGTCTCTGTTGCTCACCTCCTTAAGAGGTAGAAAGCTGTCATCAGTTTTTTTTTTTTTTTTTTTTTTTTTTTACAGTATACATGTCGGGATATAGCAGAGTGAATAAACTGACAGAACCAGGATCAGAACTCCGGTCCCTGGAACCCTCTCCTGCCTAATGTCAACAGTGCTACCTTTTTAAGCATCATGTTTCTTTGAAGTATCCATAGGACTGACCATGTTTTGGGCCAGCTATACTCTAAGTAGAGAGGAAGGAACAGATCCTCCCAACCCACTAGGGGTTTGGAATTATTGCCAAGGGTCAGAAAGTCCAAGCGCACACCAGACACTGTGTCTAGATCAAATAAACAACAGACCTTGTAACCTACACAAGACTATTTCCCATTACATATACATGTTGTTTTGATGAATAAAATACAAATTTCTTAAAAAGCACACCTATTTTATAAAATTTTGTCATTACGTGTTTTTTTCCCATCAAGGGATGTCAAAAGTGTGTGTGTGTGTGTGTGTGTGTGTGTGTGTGTGTGTGTGTGTGTAATTTTCATTTCTTTTTTAACTTTAAAAGAACTCTTCTTGGTGAAGTGGCTGAAAGGTTGGGCTGAGGATTGGCAGGGTTCGGAGTCGGGCTTTGCCATTTTCTAGCTTGGTGACTTTGACCGAGTTAACTTCTGAGCCTCCTCTGCAAATGGGACAATTATAATGTTTCTCAAAGGAATATGGAGAGGACTGAATGAGGTAATCCATCTAAGGGTACAGAACAGAGCTGGAGACATGGTAAAAGCTAATAAATGTACCTCTTCTTACTGGCAATATTGGCTTACTGGTGTAGATAAAGCCTCTGCTCCTTAGCCTGGCGGTCGTGGTGACAGTGTCACTGCTCACCTCTAGCCCACGGGCAATTTCTTGCCATGAAAAGGATGCTGGGATCTCCTCAGGTTACCAGGAGGCATCTGAGCTGGTCTTCAGTCTGGCAAACTTCCTGCCAATTCCATGAACACCGTACGCACTGGACTTCTCTCCAGAACACTGAGGCAGAAGCAAAGACCTCTGCTCCCTTCCTCAGGCTGCCCAAGCCAGGGCATGAGTGAGAGGGCAGTTTCCCAAGCCAGGGTGCTCTGTATATTCAATCGCACATCCCTACTTCTCTCTGGTACGAAGCCAAACGTCCTGGGGCATAGGAGAGAAGGCTGCGGGAGAGGCGTTTGCCCCAGACACCTGGTCTGGCATCCTTGCAGGGACTCAATTGCCCTCACGGGAGAGACAAGAACTGTAACTTCAGCCAGACTTCACTTCCTGATCTCCCTGCTTTCTCACCATCCCCTCTGGTGGGACAAAGAATGTCCCTTCTCTAGCAGTATCCATGAACACCCCACCCCCACCCCTTGACCAGACAGAGCCAGTTCTGGGAAGGCAGGTTCGAAAAAGAGACACGAACTGGAAGAGTCTGATGGAGACCAAGGGTGAAGGTGGGAAGATGAGCTGTCAGTGAGCAGCGTGTTCACATTTTCACAGGCCTGCAGCAAAGACTGAGTCTTAGGTCCAAGGCACTGCATTAGGGACTGTAGGTAAAGGCAATTGTTCCTTGATTTCTAGTGCCTTCCTTGGATGATGTCTTAATGCACAATCTCTCTAAACACCTAGAATAAGTCATGTCCATCCAACAATTCATAACTGTAAGTTACATTTCTTGAGTGCTTTCGACTTGCCAGGAGATG